TCCCAACACTCAAAGAGCATTTGGAAGGAACACAATGTGAGGCCCCTAGGGATGCCAGCGCTGCCATTTTGACGTGGTAGAAATCGAAGAGCGCAGGATTCTTTGGCAACGGGTTAGCGAGATGAAAACATTGCCTTTCGAAGAGTTGAGACCTGAATGGAGGCTCAGCCGAGAAACACTGGCTTCACATTTTGATATTTTTCTCTCACACGGTGCCTAGAATTTTGCAGCAGTACTTCCTGACTTACCGTTGTATATGTAAAGGATTTATAGGATTGCTAGGCATAGTGCAAGTGCAATAATCACGTTAGCTATTACAGTTATGTGCATGGCCGCACAAACCTGAATGCTGACTTCGGTGCATGTGAGCGAAGTACTTGGAAAAATTTAATAAGTCTTTTATGTATGCTTTAAGCAGTATAGCACTTTGTTTATTATAACAAGTTCATATTTGATTGTAGGTTATTAATAATAGTAGTGAATGAGACAGTGAATTTAGCAGCAGAAGCACCGTTCTTTTGATATTTGAATAGAGACTGACCTATTCAGATAAGGGTTAGAAAGGATGGGGTCATGATCATCAAATGCATACCTTAAATAAAGGCTTTCAAGCCTGTTAACACATTAGAAGCCACTAGGCTCCAGCCTGGACCAGTTGAATGGGAACATCTTGGGGGTAGCGATTGCTGTCAAGCATTTGTATGTTTGAAAGCTCCCCAGGTGATTATAATGTGCAGACAAAGTGAAAACCCACGGCCTTTGAGCATTAATGATTAAATATTTCTCTATTAGTTCGTTTCTGACATTGATAATTTTCTCATGTGTAAATAAATACACTGAGATTTCCAGCTCTTTAAAGGCTGACTTCTTTAAAGGTGGTTTCCATTAATTCTGCAGATTGTGGGGTATGAATGAGAAATTTTGTTTATGTTGGTGGGGACCTTTGTAAGTATCTGGTTTTTTTTGGGTGGTGGTGGTTTGTGTGTGTGTTGTTTTTGTTTTATGGTCCTGATAAAGTGCTGTGTATGTTAAAAAAGAATATAAAGTCACACTGTCTTAGGTGGGGAGGCTTCCATGGGCATCTCCTGAAATGAAGGCTGTGATCCTGGAATCCTTGCTTAGCTGCCCTGAATCAGCTTCTTCCTTTCTGTGAAATTGAGAGGAGCATGTACTTTGTATGATGACAGCTTCGTTTCGTCTCACACACACACACACACACACACACACACACACACACACACACGCATATCTTGACTTCCTGCCTCTCCCCCACCCTGCACCATCTGGCACGGATATCCAGAGCAGGGGCTGTGTGGGAGCCTCAGCAGGACTGTCTGAGCCTGCAGGGCCAGCTGCTGGGAACAGCTTTCCACCCACTCCTCAGGGATCATTTCTCTGGCTCTGCGGGGACTGTTTCATGGCCGGCTGTTTGGATCCCATGACCTTTCAGGAGCACATTTAACCTGTGGGATCAGTCACTGCCAGTTCAGGAGGGAAGCTGCTAAGGAGACCAGAGCCGATGATGGCTTCATGGTAGAAGCTTTGGGGTCCCCTGTGTGTGCCACAGGGTCATAGACGGCTGATTCCTCTCTTCAGCTGTTCGATTCATTGCTTCTTTGTGCCGAGTAGAGATACTCTATCTGTCCCTGGTTGATGCAAATGGCTCATATGCCAAGCTGCTTACAGAAATGTTGGAGATTCGAGTCTGCGCTGAAGTACCTCAGAAGAAAGGCCTGGTAATTTGCTATGGAAAGCCAGCCTGATGGAGCACGGTTCTACTCTGACACACGTGGGGTCACCCAGACGTGGAATTCACATGATGGTATAACGGGTTCACTGCTTCCAGTTTCACAAATATCTTTGTTGGCAGAAAACCGAAAGAAGCCCCAGAACTCGCCCTTTTTTTGTGGGGGTGGGAATAATAGATTGTTTCCTTCCCCACCCCGATCTCTTGGATCTCCCAGGGTATGCCTGTGAAGTTAGGAAGTCAATCAGCTCTCCTGTTGCATATTCTTTGCGCCCAGGAAGAGATTTATGGGTTGTTTCCTATTAGTTGCAAAGTATGACTCTGAGCTTGATTTTACTGCTCCAATGGCTCTCTACTTAGGTGTAGCTTTTAAGTTTATCTTCCATCTTAATTTTAAGAGTTCTACATATTTTAGGAGTTCTACAAGCCAGGCCTTTTGCTCAGAGAGCCCCTCAAATTCTATGATGATATTTCTCACTGCTGAGACAGTGGATTGAGGCAATCAGGCAAACCCTGGAGACGAGCAGAGTGAACCCGTGCGGAGAAGACACTCTTGGATGACTGATTGTTGAAGTCAGTCGACTTTGATGAGCGATCTGGAGTGGCTCAGCAGTCAATACGTACATCTGTATTTTTGTCCATCAGGACACGCCCCTTGGCTTTAGCAAGCAACAGGAGGTATATAACTTTGTAAGAAACCTGACATGTTGAATGTGCCCAGAAAACTTTTTTTTTTCCTCTAATGCATTTGGAAACTATAAATTTAACTCCTGCTGGGAGGGAGAAGTAATTGCTTCACACAAGGAACAAAAAGAAGTCAGCTCTTTCAAAGACTTAACTCCTCTCACAAACATGTACTTTTTTAATGACTGGGAAATTCCTGGTACAGGAAAAAACTGTCCTTGATATAGATGAGGTCACTGGGGCTTAGCTGGCCCAATGCACGTTAATTCCTTTCTGTTCTGTTTTGTGACCAGAGGTTATTGAAAGGATAACCCCTCTGTGGACATTCACTGCTTTGGGGGCGTATTGCCAAAGGGAAACTACAAGAGGCCCAGATCTTTGAGGTACTTAGCCAATGACTGATAAAGATTTAACTTAGGTTGACCTTGTAAGTCATACATTTTAGGTGCACTAGGACCACTGGAAGTAGCTCAGGTGGTATAATGGGTTCCTTGTTGGGCTGATAACCACAAGGTCTGCAGTTCAAACTCACCAGCCAGTCCGTGGGAGAAAGATGAGGCTTTTGGTTCCTGTAAAAATTTACAGCCTCAGAAACCCACAGGAGCAGTTTTGTTCCGAGTCAGGATCAACTCGATGGCATTCCGTTTGGAGGACCCCTGTGTGTGTTTCAGTCTTGCTCAGTTGCTCAGTAGCTCCGCCGTGTCTCGGTTTGCAAATGACTTTTTCTTTCCTAGTTGGATTACATTGACTCTGCGTTGCATTTATCCCATTGAGTGGAAATATCTGGACCCGTGTGGGGCCTTTTGCTCATCCTTTAGCCTGGAGTAAAGAAGGTGCACACACCGTTTCCTCTGAACACGTAAGAGACTGGCTTCTCCTACGATGAACGGTTGGCTAGGGCAAACTGAAGACTGTGCCTGAGGTCTTGGATTTTAAAGAGTTCTGGTAAGGTGTACAAAAAGAGATCTTAGTGACTGTCCTTGGTTTAAATTAAGCTCACTTTCCTCCTGCTTTACGGTAATCTTTTCGACCATGGGAGATGCTCACGACTTGAAGAGTGTCAGGCAGGAGATTGGATCCATCTATCCTGGATGTTTTCACAAGGACATGAACATGAAAGGTGTTTGGATAGACCTGAATAGAGAATGAGTTAAATCCAGCTCTGTGCTCTCTTAAATTCTGTACATGAAGGAAATCACTTTGGCGTGTTAAGGATGGGAAGTAAACAGATATTTATTAACGGGGTCTCAGGTACCAGCATTCTACTAAGCTCTTTTGGTATATTATCACTTTGGAAGCTATAGGACTATCTAGGGTCCTGTGGCTAATCAGTGACTGCTCATAAAATTATCAAGCTGGCTCACTTCGAAGGGTCTGGTTCACTGCCCTCGAGTTAATTCTGACTCACAGTGAACCTATAGGACAGGAGGGAATTGCCCTCATGGGTTTGGGAGACTGAAAGTCATTAGAGGAGTAGAAAGCCTCCTCTTTTTCCTGTAACCTGGTGGTTTCAAATGGCTGACTGTGTGGTGAGCATCCCAATTTGGACCTACTGTGCCCTCAAGACTCTCCAGGGTCTGGCTAGAGTCATTAGATCCCCCAGAATTCCTCCCTAGCAATAGTGGAGCCATGTTTACATAATCTTTTAATTTTGTTTTTTCTATTGATTGATAATATGACTTAAAGTTTGGTCTCTTGCCAATGAGCATTTTGTCCTTCGGCTCTTGTTGGTGTTAGGTGCCACCCAGTTGGTTCCAGCTCACAGTGACTAAGTGTACGACAGAATGAACGACACCCTGCCCAGTCCTGTACCACCCTCACAATTGTTACTTATTTGAACCCATTGTGGCAGCCGCGATATCAGTCCATCGCCTCGGGGGCCTTTCTCTTTTTCGCTGCCCTCTCCTTTACCAGGCATGATGCCCGCTCCAGGTTCAGGTCTCTTCTGACAAGTCCTAAGTACTTGAGATGAAGTTTTGCCATCCTTGCCTCGAAAGAGCCTTCTGGCTGTACTTCTTCCAACATAGATTTGTGTGTTCTTTGGGCAGTCTATGGTACTTTCAGTATTCTTCGCCAGCACTGCAATTCAAGTACATGCTTCTTCTTATCATGTCTTATTAGTAAGATGTATGTTCTGGGATGTCTATGCCGCTTTCATGGTTCTCTACACTGGAAACTCCTGTTCACACCTGCTAGCCAGGTCAAGACTAATACCCTTAAATCTTGATCTGAGATGCTTTCTCGGGTTGTCATAAATTCAGCCTGAATCTGCTTGGCTGCTTACCATCACCCCTGTTTCTTGCCCCCACAGTCCTTGTGGCCCTTGTGGAGCCTCCGAACCTTAGCTTGACATTCCTTGGGGGCAAGGGTGAAGTCAGGTTGACTTTGAGGTGCCATGGGAAACCTGGACCGCTTGCTTCCCCTTTGCTTCAGCCTCTGCAGTAGTCACTTCAGATATAGAAGAAAAGATCATCTAGTTCAGCATATCTCTTAAGTGAAGGTAAACGATTTTCAACTATTTCCAGATCATCCTTGGAAGTCTAGTTAAAGCCCAAAAGAAAGTATTAGGATGTACCATCTTGTGTCTGTTGGTCATTACCACACGCACATTACATACAGAGGCAAGGAAGAAGTGGGACCCATACTTTCCCCAGGCACCCCCCCCCGTCTCTCACACTCAGCCCAAGAACTAGGCTCTTTGTTGGCATCCAGTGCATATTTTGTTGAGCTAAATAGCTGGCACAACACAATTAGGAAGACAGTAGTTGGAAAATACAATCATACTTGAAACTGGGAAATTCTAGGTAATTGCTGACTGCTTCATATTAGTTCCTGTGGGGGAAATATGTGGCAAGATGCAAAATGGGTTAATATTGTGAAGCGAAAATGCTTCTGAGATACATCAGGAGCTATGTTTCTGCCTGCGATATTCAGAATGGGACTGGCACGGATTTGCTGATCATGTATTTATTATTGTTATTATTTCCTGCAGCCTCAGACGATACAGCAAACTCTCAAGAGGACGTTGCAGTATTATGAGCATCATGTTATTGGGTAAGTAAAAATGGATTTTGGTCATTATTGGGGGCAGATTAAGGTAATTGCTCAAACATAGCTGTTGGGTGTGTAGTTTTCTGGCGTCCAGGTGGGCGTTTGTTCAGCGCGGCCATGCTTTCATATATTTGTTGGAATCAACGGCAACTGGTCTTGTGTGCTTGTTTGTTTATATTCTCATAGCTCATGGGGTTGCCTGGAAGCATCTTTGCTTCCAAAGATGCGCTAGGTCTTATTTTCAGGGGATGTCTTATTTTTCCATGAAGAAGAATACGGTACACATTTATTGTTTATTGTCTTATTAAAAGAGACCTCGCACTTCCTGTCTGCTCCGGCTGCGCTGTGGCCACCAGTGAGCTGTGCGGTGGTGCACGCCACTGTAGTCCAGAGTCCACAGTAATGTTAGCTTCCGGGGGGCTTATTTTCGGGGGGATGCCTTACTTTCGGGGAAACAGGGTAGCTTTTAGAATTCTTAGGTGACTTTTACAGAAAGTCACTGCAAACTTAGCACCGTTCAATGAGAGCCATGTGGCTTAATTGGGGTGCCTTGCTACCTATTTCTTTCTTTTTTAACCCCTTAACCCCATATCTCAAAATCATCAGCTATCATAGAGTGTAACGTTAACAGACTGAGGACAACACATAGGAATTCAAGGGCTCACCAGCACTGTTTCATGAGTAACTTTATCCTTTAAAAGGTGATGATGCTCACAATTAAATCAGGAATCATGATTCAATGAGGTACTTTCAGAGGAAGACATTGGTAAACATAAAACTCCATAAGCATTGTTTTGAGGGCACTACTGCAATTCAAATAAGGAAGATCAAAGCTGTCGATGGCAGAAGGCAATTGGCAAAGAGAACAGCCTGAATTTGTTTTAGGAGACCCCAGGTGGTACAACGTTCATGCTCCAGGACGTTTGAAGCCACCTCAGAAGAAAGACCTGGAGACCGACAGTCACTGTCAGCTCCGTGGAGCACAGCCCTGCTCTGACCCACAGGGGTTGCCGTGAGTTGGAATCCACAGCAATGGACAGCACAGGTGTATCTCCTCCTGCCACCTAGCGTTTCAAATGAGATGCGATGATGCTAGAAATGCGGTATATTTTCAATTCCCCTTGCTCCTATTCTCTCTGCACTCCAGGGATTTATCTTTGTATTATTTTGAGAACTTTTGAGGCATCGTTTTTCAAACCCTGGTACTTCTTGAAATGTCACCCAGGATCATTGAGAATGCATGGCTGAAAGTAGTTGTTATGGGGATCATCCAGAATATATTGTTGGTGATTCGGGTACAGTGTGGTTTTTTTTTCCCTCAGAGCAAACAGGAAGAAAATTTAATGGAAAAACAATCTCACCACCTAGTACAATGCCACATACTTAAGTGCTTGATGATTATTTTAATTGTCACTTCAAAGGCAATTGCTCTGAAACTTTGTCATATAAATTCGGAAGGGTGCAGTATTAGGACAAACAAAGTATTTAAACTTATGAGATGGCTTTTGGTTTGAGACCACTAGTGATTTTAAGTGGCCTACCTTAATGGAGATAAAATTTAAAAGTATCTCCTCTCACGTATTCAAAACTAAACCTTAATCACTCTCATTGGGTTTGCTGTTTTCAAATTACAGTGTTTGGATTAAATCAACAACCCTGATGAAACCCTTAGAATAGTTTCTGGCTCGTGGTAAGAATGATGTACCTAATTGTTTTTATCTCTATTATTGTGATTACTAACTTTTTAATGACAATACGAGGAGTCACATGCAAACCCATCCCCTGTTTTAAGTGATAATGGTGAAATATTTTCATTTGTGAACTAGGCTATGCCCCAAGGCAGATGGGGGTGGAATGTTTATAAGTGTGATCAAAATAGGTAGCCAAGCTATATTACCATAATCAGCAGAAATGTCTTTTTTTTTCTTCATTCGTAAGAAAGACATTTTTTCCATTCTCCTGTATCTAAATAACGGATCAGCTCCTCTCTGCACTCTGGCTATGGTGACATAGCCTGTGGGGATCCTTTGTTCACTGCAGACAGAGCAGAGAGAGGGCAGACAGGGACTGTGACTCCAGCATAAAGAGGGGGTGTCTCCCTCCTTCCAAATGGGCCTGTGAGTGCATCTTTGCTTGGATGCTGCCTGGTTTCTGTGGCCTCCCAGTACCTTCGCTCACGGTCTTTATTTGTCCCTATGCTGATGAAGAGAAAAAGGACTTCTTGCCAGCAACATTGTCACATGTTGCATTTTGACTTTGTTTCCCCACTTTTTTCATTTTTCTCTCAGAGCTTTCCTGTCCAATTCCTCTTGCCTTTTAGGCTCCCACTTTGCACTTGCTATTTCTCTTGCCCCCAAGGGAAAGCGTCCAACATCAGTAACACTGACTAAAATGCATTCACGTCTGTGTGTTATTTCTCTTAAGAAAATACAGCTGAACTATTTTATCTCTAACTATGAAAAAGGAAGCTCTCTTAAAGGGCTTTTGAGCCATTGAGAGTAAGTAAGTCCATGTTTGAGGAGAGGTGTTAGTACCGAAGGAGTCTTGCTTTTTTCGAATTGCTGAAGTTGGGCTGGTCTGGAAGTGATTTGGCGTTTAGGATGCCTTGGGTGTAGTTAACTGTTGTGGAGTTGATCTTGACTCATTCACGGGACCCCGTGCACCATGTCACCCAGTGATCTATGGGGGATGGGACCATTATGACCCATAATACTTTCACTGGCTGATTTTCTGAATAGATCACCAGGCCTTTCTTTCTAGTCTTTGTTAGTCTGTAAACTCTACTGAAACCTGCTCAGCATCCCAGCAACATGCGAACCTCTTCTGCGGCTGCTGGGCACAAGGGACAGTAGCCAGGCATGGAATGTGGGTCTCCTGCATGGAATGGAGGGATTCTACCACTGGTCTACCACTAGAGTGTGCAGAGATGAAGCAGAATAGATAAAAGAGATTATCAACGAGCCATTCTGTTTTTAATTTCCGAATTCAACCTCCAACCACCGATCTTTCTATCCTCCCCTTCCTCTTTGTCAACACTTTGACCGTGTATCTGCTTGATTCCGTAGAGCTTCAGGACTGTGTAGCTGGGCTCCTGCCGGCTGCCTGTGTCCTTCCCCTACAGCTCGTCGGAGGCTCTGTCAGTCTTCCAAGGCTTCAGGTCGGGGTCAGCGAGCAGCTCTTCAAAAGATCATTCAGATGGAAGAACTGGGAGGCAGACTAGACTCTTGCTAGGGAGTAAAATCGTCTCCTGCGATTGTAGCAATTTTGTCTTTAGATATTTATTTGATTCCTTCATTTATTTTTTTACTCAATCATTTATTCATAGAGCCAGTGCAATTCAAGTTGGGGAAATGAGTACTGAAGTAATTTATTCATGCAATGTGATAACTTGTCATCTCGTCACCTCCACTACCCCAATCATCTTTCACCCAAAGATTTGGAAGCACTTTTTTCTGTGTCTGTTGTTATCAGTCAAGTGAATAAAAACTTAGAGCATGCTACTTTTTTATTTGCTTCTTTAAAACTTTACATCAGTGTTTCTCAAACATTCTTGGGTGTCAGAATCACGTGGTCAGATTGTTAAAACACTAATTTCTGGGTCCCATCCATAGTTTCTGAACCTGTAGGTCCTTCAAGGAGGTGCAGTACTGATGCTGCTGCTGCTGGTGCAGGAATCACACCTAGACCCCTGCTTTAAATCATTCATTGGCTTATTTGGCTGAATGAAATAAGAACTCTTTCTGAGACCCAGCGTCTGCCTAGCTCTGATTTCCTCCTCTTCCTCTCTGGCCCTCCACCCTCTTTTGATTCCATTTCAGCTAATTAGGAGTTATGTTGGTTTCCCAATTATATTAATATTTGCTTAGTCTCAAAACTTTTACAGATCCTGTTTCATTTTCCTGGAATTCCCTGTCTCAGTTGCTTGCATGATTTATTTATTTACTTATTTATTTTAGGTTTCTGATCAAATGGCCTTTCTTCAGGTAGATCTTCCCAGATGTTCCAATCAAAAGTAGCCATCCACCCCACTCCAGTTGAGAACCCTAGTCTCTTTTCTATTATATTTTCCTATAATCGTTCCTTTCATGATCCTTACCATTAGCTGGAGTTTGCTTGTTTATTTTCTTGTTTGCTTGTGTATTTTGTTCACTTCTACTTTCCTGTGCCATGATTAGTACCCGACACAGAGGAGCTACTACATTTTTGGGAGGTGGTGATGTGGGGTGATGAGTAGATGGATATATTTTACTCTATGTACACAGATTTTTTTAGGATCGTGGTAGGTAGAAGAATAATTCTAGGATGGAGATGTAAACTCAGGGGTTGAAATAGCTTTCAGGTTTTGTTACAGTCCTAAAGTGGATAATTGTAGTATCCAGAACCCATTTATTTGTCGCATAAGCAATACCGATTTCTTTGCATCGTTTTTCATTTATGCTTGCTATTCTGTCACTGTGTAACCGACTGACTTTGTGGTAAATTTTGGTTACTATCTCTTTTCTACACTGCATGCTCCCGTGAAGAGCTTCTTGTTCACAGAGCACGACCCCTAGGAGAAAAAGGGGATCATTGAGTGTGTGCATCTTTATATCAGTTACTAAGGTGCGGATGGGTAAATGTCTGACTGCTAACCCTGAGGCTGGCAGTTCGGGCCCATCAGCCTCTCCTTGGGAGAAAGAGAAGGCTGTCAGTGCCGGTAAAGACGGTGCCCAGGAAATTTATGCACGGTTACCGTGAGTCAGAATTGACTCGCTGGGACTGGGTTTGCTGGCTTTTTGGGGCAGGGGTGGGGTTTACGCAAGCTTGTAGGGAATGGACTAGCTTTCTGGGTTGTGTGGGGTAGAAGGTATCATGAAAAGCAGAAGGGGTAAGTAGGAGGTGGGTAGCGTTTACCTTGTGAATTAAAATGAAGTCATGATTGAGGAAAACCTGGTTTATAATCACATCTTTCAGCTGTCAATCTTGCCATTACCTTGTGCCTTTCCTCTGTGCTAAGGGTCTCT